AGTTGAGCCGGTATTGTAGAATCAAGGTCACTGTGTGTGTGTGTGTGTGTGTGTGTGTGTGTGTGTGTGTGTGTGTGTGTGTGTGTGTGTGTGTGTGCGTGTGTGGAGGCAGGGGAGCTCATTAAAATATAAGTTGATTAGCATGGACTTTGATCCATCCTTCTGTTTATCTACTTGCTCAACTGAATACTCCTATTTTTATGTTGTTTTGTTATGTGAACACAACACACACGCACACACACATAGGGTGGTGTGTGTGCGTGTGTGTGTGTGTACACATCTTTTTGATGGAAGAAAAACCTCGAGTAAACATCTTTGACCTGAACTTTTTCTTGCTGTCTTACTTCACGTCAACACTGTTCAATAAACTGATTGAAAACACACACACACACACACACACACACACACACACACACACACACACACACACACATACTTACCTGCATCCTCCAGAATCCATTTTCTAATTGGATTGTAGAGATTTTTGTTTTTCGGCTGAAGAGATCAGAGGAGAGAAGACTCACTGTTACCGTAGCATGGTCAGTCAGGTGATGTCAGCAGTGTGTGACCTCTGACCTCAGTGTTTTATGTGTTCCTGTCCTCAGTGAGCACCCCTCACTTCCTCCATATCAAAGGTGTGGAGGTGAACGCAGGACAGACAGCCACGTTTCACTGCACCGTCAATGGACGTCCGCAGAGCAACCTGCTGCTGTACCTGCAGGTGATCTATCAATAATCCATAGTCAGTAACATGAGCGCCACGCGGCGAGACTGCACTCGGCGTGGCGTGTGTGTATGTGGCTGCTTCACTTTGTGTGTTTGTGCTCGGCAGGGAATGGGCGGTCGGCAGGCCGCGGTACGGGAAACCAAACCGCTGAATGCTCGGCGTTATGTGGCGAGCTTCAATGTGGACAACACGACCAAAGGAGACTCTGGACGCTACCGCTGCATCGCCCAATCAGAGCGAGGGGTGGGCGTGTCCTCCTATGCTGACCTCACAGTCAAACGTGAGTGCTGCTCTCTTATTGACTGATAATCTCTGAATATATTTAAGTGATGTGAATAATGTGAAGCTTAAAAAACTGATCATCCTGTCTTCCACAAGAGGACGCCTGTCCCTCCTTCTCACCCCCTCCCCCTCTCCTCACCCCCCTCCCTCACTCGTCTGTCTCTCGCTGCAGATCAAAGCTGCAGTTTGTCATGTTTTTTATTTTAATGACTCCATCGTGAAACGAGAAAGAGTTTTATTAAAGCTCCTCATTACTGCTCTGTGACTGTGTGTGTGTGTATGTGTGTGTGTGTGTGTTGCGGGGTTAGAGGAGAGCCTCATTAGAAAGTCAGAGCGCCGTTTTAAGGCGGGAGTCTCGGCGGCGTTTTGTCAGAATGTTTCTGTGAAGATGAATCACACCAAAGTAAAAGCCTCCTCTTTCTGGCGCTGCCTGTCAGAGTGCTGGCGCCCTAACCCGAACGCACATGCGGGCCCGCAGCGTGTTAACGATGACTCGTTAAACGCACCGTGTTCGGTGCGACGGAGCCGTCAGGCGTCTCTGAAGCGTAGCTTTCATCCACACTTTTTTCCTACCCCATCACGCTGAAGAGTCGGAGGAACGCGGGATGAGCCTCGATGGCGTTTAGCCTTCATCTCGCGGCTTAGTCATGGCGGCACATTTGATGGTGCCTGCTGAGACCAGCAGTATAAATATGATTTCATGTTTTATTAGATTCTCTTAAATGAACATAATTCTGCGATTTTACATTTAAGCATGTTTCAGTCTAAATAGGAGAAATCACAGCAGATCAATGGGATCCATCAGTAATCGATCAGCAGCCTGTGACGGTTTCATGGATGTCCGACTTCATTATTTCTGTATTTGTGTCACATGTGCGCTGAGGGATCACAGCGCTGTTTTATATTTTCAGCCACCAGAGGCGCTGTGGAGCACCCACTTCATACTCTGATTATATCACGACAAACTGATGAGACAACAGTTTATATCGCACTCTTCCATCACACAACAAAGTGTTTGTGACACACTAACTGCACATTCAGAAATAGGTCCCACTGCACGCCATGCTGGGTGATGCTAACTAGCACTGCGCTACCAGCTGTTAGGGCTCTTTGTTCAGGATCGTAAAGCCAGGCGGAGGATGATGAGCAGAGAGCGTCTGAGTTTGCACCTTTTAAACAGTTTCATGTTGAATCTGCCTTTTATGTTGGGCGGGGCTCTGGCAGCTCCGTAGGTGCTTTTACCTGGACGTACAGGCCTGGTTTTTGATACCCAGACTGACGGTGCTGGAGAAGAAGTTGTAGAGAGCGAAGGTAAGAGTGGTCCCAGTGCTGACCAGGGCAGTGACCCCCTCAAGTTAGGCAAGTGGCTCCAGCAGGTCCCGGGAACAACATCAGGGATCTCTGTTCAGAAGAGTGCAGTATGAACAGCTAAGATACTGCGCAGGACCCTCAAGCTACTGAGGACCCCAGCTTGAAACCCGAGTTTTATTTTTATACACACACACACACTCATATATACTTTTATATTTGTTTAGTTCAGATTTCAGTTTGTGTCTGTAGATGTGAGAAGAAGCAGATCCAAGTGACATTACTCACAGCTGAGCTGATCAATACAAGGATTAAGTGTGTGTCTGTGTGTGCCATTTCTAAGCAAACAAACACCATAACAGGTGAGGAGGTGTTTGTTGGTCACATGACCTGACACATATCCCCACAATCCCCGGCGGTTAAACCTCTGATTGAACTGTCACTCAGACTTTGTATGTGTGTTTGATACAATAACACACACACACACACACACACACACACACACACACACACACACACACACACACACAGGTGAACATTAACTTGAACGTGAAAAACAGATATCATTGTATCCTGGCTGGTGTGTGTGTGTGTGTGTGTGTGTGTTTTTGATGAAGTGGGTCAAGACGAAGTAGAGCAGCACCACCGGGGATTCTGGGTAATAGAATCCAGGTCTGCCGTGATTCGCCGAAGGTCACGAATATTAATTGTCTTATTAACACCTTCCTCCCTCGTCAAGGGTTTAGTGAAACCCAGAAGAGCATGTGTGTGTGAGTGTTCATGTGTGTGTGAGTGTTCATGTGTGTGTTGTCAGACTGATCTTGGTCCTTTGTCCCTCAGAGCCCCCTGTACCCATCGCCCCTCCTCAGCTGACAGCAGTTGGTGCCACCTACCTGTGGATACAACTTAACGCCAACTCGATCAATGGGGACGGACCAATCACTGAGCGAGACGTGAGTGCTGATTGGTCACTGATTCAGAAGTGTGGCTACAGCTACGACATTGGCTAACATTGCATAGTTAGCTTATCAGCCTGCTGTTCCCTTTAACAGGCTAATAGTCAAAGAAAGTTTAGATGCTGGAGCCACAAACTGTGGCAGAATTCTGTAATGCATAGAACTTACAATTCTATAGTATGTATGTATGTATGTGCAGATGTATATGCGTGCATATTTTTTTTTCAAAGAAAGTTTAGATCCAGGAATTTGCTTTATATTTGTTTTGGTCGGGTGATTTTTGTCCACTTCTGGGGCAGCCTACCTGTAACATTGTGCTCGCTTTCAGGTTGAGTATCGGACGACAGCAGGCATGTTGATCGACACCACACCGGTTGATAAGCCCACTCATAAAATCGGGCATCTGGACCCCGACACAGAGTATGAGATCAGTGTGCTCCTCACCAGGCCCCTGGATGGAGGCACAGGGAACCCCGGGCCACCGCTCAGAGCCAGGACCAAGTGTGCAGGTGGGTGAAAGTGAGGTCACATGGTCGAACCCGGCAGCCAATCGGTGATGAGGGCCGTTTCATGTCATCATAGTTGGTTTTGTTTTGTAGAGACCCTCGGGTGATTGCTAGCAGCTAACCGTGTGGCTCCACTCACACTGCTCTTATTAGGAGGTTAATGGCTGAGTCATTAGCGTACCGTGCTAAGCTGCATTAGCACTGAGCTCATCAGGTGGCTAATGGTTAACGATGAGCTCCTTAAGACAGCCAGCTTTGTTAGCATCACACTCGTTAGCTCCTAATGGCTACTGCGTACACACTACGCTAGCAGTTAATCTCCTGAATGAACACACCAACACACTGTGCCACAGGTGTGTGTGTGTGTGTGTGTGTGTGTGTGTGTGTGTGTGTGTGTGTGTGTGTGTGTGTGTGTGTGTGTGTACGCAAACAAAAAACTGGATGTTATTAGCAATTAGCTCGCTAATTACACAGGTGCAGCCTTTTTATTGCTGGTGCAGTTGTTACTTCATCTGTGGAGTGTTTGATTGTTCCACACGTTTCTATTCGTTGTAATTATTATTAGTGCCAGTCTTCATAATTCAGATTCATTTGATCTGTTTTTATTCACATACCTGTGTTTGAATTTATAGAAAGCATATAACCCATATGCTTACATTATTGTCAGTATAAGTTTTATTTACACGATCACATTATCAACAGCAACAAAGAGCTTTGTGTTTCAAAGAGGAACTATATTTTTAAACAAAGAACATCAGCAGACACTTAGATTCACAAAAATATTTAGTAAAACAATCATAATTTAAAGAAAACCACAATGTTATTTTTTAGGTGATGATAATATCAATCTCAGCTTAACCCTTTAAGACCTACCATAGAACCAAGTCCGCCAGAGCTTATATTATATTTTTACATGCTCTAGAGGCATTTTTGGGAGAATTTCAAGTTGATATACATCAATACAACAATTATAGCCCAAATTTTAATAATATGTATGCATTAAGTGCATAGTAATTACATAAAATTGCAAAGAATGCGATAAACTGCAAAAAAATTGAAAAAGTTTCTAGTTAGAGAAATTTAAGAGGCTTATCCCTCAATTTCCTGTGGTTCCCACCACAGGAAATTTTATTTAAGTGTCTTCATAGTTTTATTTTTGAAATACACCAATTTTTATACACTGCAGGAAAAACTAAAATAAATATTATAGTGCACATTTGCAAAAAAACCGCATGTGCATCAAAATAAACTATTTCCAGCAGTGCAATATGAGTCCTAAGCATCCCAGAAACAATACAGAGAGTCATAAAGTCAAACATAACTTTGAAAAACACCAGTATAGGCTTATAAGGCCCCGATGGTAAAAAAAACTACATTTCCGCAAAATGACGTCACTTCCGGTTTTGGGCAGGACATGGCGGACATGCGATAGTTCACGCTGATGGACGTAGGAAGTGTTACAAACAGCTGATCGGATCGGCAAAGCGTGTTTCTGGAATATTATGTTTTTGTTGCTGCAAGCGCTTTTTATGCAGTTTTTGCAAAGCTATATATGGAAGGAAACCGTGACCGAGGACAAGCTGATGGCATAAGATGTAAGTACAACTTCTCCGGTTTCATATGCAAAAAAGATTATTGCGCTAGCTTACATGGTTGCAGTGCTACCGGGATTTAAAAATAGTTATGCAAAACAGCCGGCTTTAAAGGGTTAAAAGAAAGTGTGCAAGTTTTTTCATGTCAGCATTACACCACCTCTATTTTCCACAGTGATAATTATAAAAGCATTCACTTCAATTTCCTTTAAGAAAAAAATAATAAAAAAAACTTCAACATAAAAAAGTCATGTTTGAACAAAATATGAATCAAAATCTATGCAGATGTTTCCAATGCTGACGTGTTTTTGTGTGCTTGCCTCCAAACTTCATGTTTTCCAGTCCTGCTGTCAGTCGTTCCAGTGGCGACACTGTGAACAAGTGTGTCAGGTTTCAACATACCGGCGTCTCAGACCTGCTGCTTCATGACTCATTTCAACACCTCGCAGCCACTGTCATGTTCCTATAAACTTGTGTGTCTGTAGAACCCCCCCCCCCCCTATTACACCCTCCATAGCCCCCACCCTCAGAGGCTTCCTGTCACACTGACCTGTGACAGTGAGGAGCAGGTTCATCCTTTAGTGTGCTTTTGAAGGCTGTTATGCGCATGTGTGCTGTCCTACATGCACTTGGATTCTTGATGCACTTCCTGGTACAAGCCAACTGAGAGCCTCTTATTCCAGGAGGAAAAATGAAAAACATGCCCAGCAGTCAAGTTCTGATGATCACTGATGTTATTTCGGTCATTGAGGAGGCTGTAATGGTTCTTGGTGACATTGTAAGGGTCTGTGGTGAATCATTGGTGCTGATAAAGCTCTGACTGCTTTTGCTGCATTTCTAATGAGACCTGATGAGGGTCTTTGTGCTAATGGTCTTTAAGAAAGCTCTAGTTGCTCATGGTGACGCGGTGATGGTGTGGATGAGGTCTCTCCACACCATCATAGCCTGTATGAGTTTCTAATGGTCCTTGGTAGTAGGGCTATTTGATATAACAATATATATATCGGATGACGATATGAAAAAATCTATCGTTTCATATTACACTATCGTTTTGTTTCGTGGTGTCACAAAATAAACTGTTTATGGCAACATTTTTTTCATGGTTTTGATGGTCACTGTAGTGGCTATAGTAATCTCTTAAAGTTCTCTCTTTCTCTTATATTTAAAATAACCACACTACGGAGAGACAAGCGACTGTTTTTACACGCTGTCATTAGCAACAATGACAGTAAACCCAGTGTGTGGCTCCGCTGTCCGCCTGTTTATTTTCCACATAAACCTTTCACAATGAAGCTGAAGAGCCTGTTGAGATTTTTCAAAATAAACTGAAATGATGACAAACAGAAGGTCCAGTCAAAACAAACGGAGCCCTTATTCCTAAATGAGAGGCCACCTCTGTAGCATGGACATGGTTTGGTTATGAAAAGTCAGAAAACTGTAGTATGCAAATTATGGTGCAATCCGGTCCCCACGTCAGACTCAGAATCGCGTGAAAGAGTATGAAGAGAGTTTACGGATGAGAAGCAAAGAAAGAGCAGTCAGGTGCTCAAAATAAACCTTAGACTCCAACGTTAGAACAGGCTTTTCCCCGCAGCACGCCGTGTAATAAATACTCACAAAGAAAACGGCAGCCGTTACAACTTGTGTCTAAAAATGTATCGTTTCGTGCATCTTGATTTGGCTCTCGGAGGAGGCG